TGCCGTTCGGCGAGTCTCAAATAAAAATTTGGGCATTTTACTGTAAAAAAATATACCATTAATGTAAAAAAGAAACTCTAAATTAACTATGTTCACATCCAGAATCAAACCTGGGTCTCCTGCACAAGAGTCCATCATCTAACTAGGTGAGCTAAACCACCACTGACATATTTGGTATCTGTAATATTTATATCCTTAATAACAGCTAAAACAACGTTCAAAGAATGGTCCGGAGCGAAAACGGCTATTTTGTTGCTAATTTGCAGGAAATATCTAGAAGAAAGTAGCTAAGGGTCCTCAGAAATGTAGCTAGCTTTGTCACTAGGCGTTAGGAACAGCGACAAAGACTAAAGCTACGGATAGCTAATGTTACGGGCTATGTGCCTGAGCGTGAACGCGCATGAAGCAGCCTGCTCGACCCGAGCATCTCTCTTTTTCTGTGATTTTACAGAAAAACAGGCAATCACAGTAAAAATGCCAGGGCTCATTCTACAGGACCAGGGCATTGCAGGAGAATGTATGAAGAAGACATTTATTATTTCTGTACATGTTTTGGCTGTCAAACTTCCATAATGGCCCTTTAAGCTTTTTTAACAAGTCTCTCCTAAAAGCTTCATTTTCAATTACTTTGAAAAAAATCTTCCACGCTTTCATCACAACACACGTTGATCATTGCGATTTCTTGCATCACTGTAAGATTCTGCAAAAATCTTTGACACTACTTTAAATTTGTCTTTTAAAAACGGACTTGTTAAGTGTGTCAACAGCCTCGTCCCTGAGGAGGTCATGAAGATTTCAACGCCCCAGACTGTAAATAGAGACAGCAATTCAGTGAGATGTCAAACATCCTTTGGACATTTACTTCCTCATTTAAAGGACCTCAGAAATGGAATTATTTGCCACCAGCAAGTAAACAACTAACTAGTATCAGAACTTTTAAACCCGTCGTGTGAAAAAAAGACTCAAAAATAGGCAAAAAAACAAAGTACAACTTATACTGCAAACTTTGGCTTTATCATAGAAATATTTTTGTTTACTATTTTAAATACTTAATGTAAATCCAAGGTTCAAGAAAACATGGAAGCATTACACCGGTGTGTCCTAAGTCCAGTCCAGGATTTGCTACAAGCTCTGGTTGCTTGTGTTCAACACTCTTCATGGTCTGACCCCGTCCTATCTCCAGAACCATCTACTGCTTGCACATGATCTAGAAATCATAAAGCCAAATCATCAGGGGCTCCTTGTTGTACCCAATTAAAGAGCAGAGGTGATTGTGCCTTTGCTGCTGCTTCTTCTAACCTTTAGCCTAGAAAACTAGACAAACAATAGCAGGTCAGTCTAGCCATGCTCCATTGTAGCCTCAGCAGGTCTACCATTGGCTCAGACCATGTTAGGTTGAGCCAATCACAGCACTCTGCGTTTGTAGAGAGCGGGCTTAGCACCAGAGCTACAAAGGAGAAAAACTAGACAGAGTCGGCTCAGGAAAAACACATGAGCAGTTGGAGGTACTTGTGAATTTTGAAAAAGGACAGACAGTGACTGATTGTTGTATTGATTCATTTGTCATGATGTTCATTGCTCTGATTCGCTCTGGCACTGTCCAGTTGCGTGTGGACACAGTCTGAAAGACCATTAGAGATGTCGCCCCAGGGCTGGGTTGTTTCTACGGGTCATTGCCAGAACATAAATAGGGTGGTTCGCCATGCTACCTCTGGAACTACATAGCCGTCCTCATTAAATGTGGAATTAGAAGTGCTTTTCTTGTCATTCTAGCAAGGTTCTTTTTGAATTCAACGCCCCTTCTTCCACAGAGTCCACCCATGCCACCACCACGCCATAACATTTTCTGCCATAAATCCCAACTTAATGCATTTATGTAACGTATGATAATTGAGTTTGTTAGCTAATACAGTGTTGTGTTTTTATGGTGACAAACTAGGCTGTTTTTCGCTTTCTTGGTTTATTCTTAACTTTAAAATCTCAGCGGCTCCAAGCCACCAACAACCTAGGAAAATCCTCATCCAGGTCAAAATTTTTAGAACCCAAGCCGAACCTCCTCAGACTTGCACAACTCCCAACCCCCACACACATACACGTTACCAAGGCAGCACACCAGCAGACAGCTCTGCCAGCCAATAGAGGACAGGCTGCTTTCAACAGACAACAGGTCCATCACTTAAATGTTTCCCAACAAGTGTATAACCAGACTCTAAACAGAACACGTTAAACAACTCCTTAACCAACACATTGTCACACCCGAAGCATTGAAAACTGACGATGGGTGGCCAAGCGTCGGTTTCCGAATGCCACAGGAAAACAGAGATTTCACCAAACTCTGACATTGCTATTTAACGCCGCGGAAACACCGGCCGCGGAAGCGCCGAGAAGCGAATCGCTCACGAAATTCGGCCACTGCTCGCCGCTCCTCAGTTCAGATCAGACACGTCCCAGTCGAGGCGCGCCTCGGCTCAGCTGTAGTTTTTCTTTTAAACACTTGGTGTCCTCCATTTCCTCTCTGCCTTTTCTCAGCTCTTTTCCTCTACGTTTGTGTGTGTGTGTGTGTGTGTGTGTGTGTGTGTGTGTGTGTGTGTGTGTGTGTGTGTGTGTGTGTGTGTGTGTGTGTGTGTGTGTGTGCATGTGCGTGTGAACCTATGGTATGAGTTGTTTCTGCCAGTTGAATCTCTTGGAACCCGCTCCAATTCTGCAGCTGTATCCTAGCAGTTTCTTACGTAAATAATCATGTTTTTCGGGGGTCGTACAGCTCCTTGTGTTTCTCAACTTCCATAATTAATTTAAAGTCATCCATCTTAACTGCTTGCCTCAGACTTTCTGCCTCTGTCCTGTTTGCTCCGGTGAAAAGACACCCCAAACCACTCCCCCCTTCACGCGGTCACACACGCACACAAGTTCGATGTGTGTGTGTGTGTGTGTGTGTGTGTGTGTTCGTGTGGTTTTTCTGCAGTGTCTGATTACGAACACATTTGACTATTGCGGAATTTTATTTTGAAATGCTTTATTTTGTTAAATTTACCGGCCTGCCTCTTACAGTATGTCTAGGTTTGACTTCCTTCCAGAATTGATGCGATTCACCCGTGGCTCGCAAAAAAAATAGAGCCGACGCCGAAATGATCGCTGCACGGCGAGGGCTGGAGCACCGGCGCGAGGCGATTCGCGTCGCTTCGGCGGCCCATGTGGCCTATAGAATAACTTAACAAGGGCGCCGACTGAAGGCGGCCCCATTTTCGCGGCGCTTCCGCGACCGGTGTGTCCCCGGCGTAACTTTCCCCTCACCCCCATCCTAACCTTAAACCCCTTGAACATGCAAAACTGTGTTCCTTGTTGTGACGTCCCTCTCCAACACGGCTAACGGGAAGTTTAGAATGAGAAACAGGGTTAAGGTTAGGATGGGGGTGAGGGGTGGGTTAAATAGCAAGAGGTCAGAGGTTAACTGTCGGTGAAACGTGCATTTTACCGCGGGTGTCGGAACTCGACGCTCTGGCACCCATCGTCAGTTTTTGACCCTTCGGGTGTGAGAATGTGTTGCCCTAACAGCTGTAAACTGACCTGCTCAAGCTGGCTTTTGCGTGACCTTCTCACCCTCTCATTATTCTGCTCCTTTACCAGCTCCACTGATTTCCCTCTTTTCTATTCATTTTCTCTTTCCCCCATTTTTAATAACACATTTTTTATCATTTAAACCATATGTTTTAATAATTGGAATAAATATATCTTAAAGTTTTTGTTCTTGTGAAGCACCTTGTGATTTTTATCATGAGAGGCGATATATAAAAGGTCGTTTTCTTTCTTTCTTAAATGAAATCTGTAAACATTCCACGTTACACGAGGCAGCCCGGCTCGGACTTCCCTTCCTGTTCAGCTGTCCTGAGCTGGGAACACGCCATTTGTGCACATAGGTATGTTCAGGGGCTAGTTAGATGAATGGATCATGATACAATCCTTAAGAAAAGGATGTCAGACTAGGGTTTTCCAGGATTGTACATTTCAGAGGTGATTAAAAGTGTTCATTTTTGACAAAACGTTTAATTTGCTGGTGGCCATCGATATGTGATGAGAATTTTAAGCAACGAGACAAAAACTGATCCAGAATGACGTCTCACACCTCATCTTTGAATCTGCTCAGAACCTTGGTTGTTTCAAAAAACTCTTAAAGACCCACTTCTACTCTCTGGTCTTTGACTTCTTCATGTTTTGGTGTATTTATAGTTTTATTTAATTACTTGTGCTCCTGCGTCGCTGCTGTGAAGCACTTTGTTACAGCCCCGACTGCTACAAAAGATCCATGTGAATAAAACTGACACAGGAGCTGAATTATATCTGGGGTTTATTCTGTTTTTCTGTGTCACAAAAAGCACACGATCGCTTCAAAACGAGGCGAGAAACACACAATAACAAACTCTACAAGCCGTGAAATCTGAAATGTCATATCCTGACTTCTAACCGGGGTAAAGAGTTCAGAGTGAAAGGAAGGGGGTTATGTTCAGTTGATTCATTATTAATTTGTAAAATCGTTCCTGAAGGACAAGAGAGCTTTATTATATAATTATCTACACCTACAGATGTCTGGGTCCATTTAAAGTTAATAACTTAATTACAGCTCTTAGCATGATTGCTACTTCTAAGAGGCAGCTTTAAAAATCTACACTTCCTGTTGGTCTTCCTCTGTAGTTTCGTTAACATAATTATGAAGCAGGTGCTTAATTAGACTTTATGTGGGCTTCATTAGTGCAGAATCAGCCCAACGGGGTCAAACTGATGAAGTTTCCACCTTTAAATACTAAAGCCATCGATTCAAGGAGGAAATTTGATCCTTTTGTGTGTTTGTGTGTGTGTGTGTGTGTGTGTGTGTGTGTGTGTGTGTGTGTGGACTGTGGAGAATCATTTTATCCTTTCCGGGAGCAAATGTCCTCAAATGAACAGCTTTACGACACCAACCTGCTGCATACGGAGAAGTTAAAGCCTTTTTTTTTCTCTGTTTTCAGAACACAGAGGATCACTTGGCATTCCTGATCACAGTGCCCACTGCTCTCTTCCTCTTCCTCTCCATCTTCATCCTCGTCTGCATCGAGTCTGTCTTCAAGCGGATGTTGCGCCTCTTCTCTCTGCTCATATGGGCCTGTTTGGTGACCATGGGCTACCTGTTCATGTTCTCGGGGGGCAAACTCAGTCCGTGGGACCAGGTAGAAACCTTTGAGTTGATTTGTTTTCATTGGTTAGGACTGCATGAGTAAGTGTTTAGCCTACAGGCTGTTTTTATCCTATCTGCATCGACAAGTGTAGTAGGCGTCAGAAACAGCGAAGCATCTTTGCTGCTGCAGGTTACTTCCACTATTTCTTGCATAGAAGATTTTATTTTTTGGGTGATTTCTCCAACATTTTGTCCCCAGTGACATCAGCCACGTAGATTTTTATTCAACTTTGGGATTTGTTGTTGCAGGTTGTCTCTCTGCCAGTGACCCCAAACACACTAAGAGTCCTACTGTCAGACATTCGGGGTGAGAGGAAATACATTTATACAACTTTCAAATCAGGGTTAGAAGAATCAGACTTTACGTGGTTTCGTTTGGGGCTTTAAAATTTTGTGCTCTTGGGTTTGCATGACTTCCTGTCTCGATGTGTGAGAGCAGTAAAGGACCGCCTGCCAGTCCGTGTCAAAATCAGACTGGACAAAGACCAAACCCTTGCAGCCTGCCGCAGGACAGCTGGACAAATAGAGTTTATGTCAAGTGTGTAACGATTGTTAGTTGGGTTTATGGTGGCCTTTATCACAGCAGTTATGTTTCACTTGGTGCTGAATGAAAAGCAGCACTGAAGCAAATGTTCACACTGAATCTGTTCCACTAACTGTCCCAGCAAACCAGTACATGATCAGGACCGAACGTTTTACAGGCGACCCGTTTTGACCCACAGCTGTGGTTTTCCTGCTCTTTTGACAAGTTAAAGTTAAAGGTACATGATGCATTGTAGAGACGTTTTGAAACACTCAATAGAACGCTGTTATCTTTAGAATTTTAGCTTAGTCTTGTTACTGTGAAAAGTCACACTTTCTACTTTATAGCTGCTGTAGAAAAATTGGAAAACAAATTTGCTTAGAACATTTTTTTCATGCCTCTTAATAATCTATCATAGTAGCTATGAATATAAGGTGGAGTTTTAACTAAAAATGAAAAATAAATAAATAAACTGGTTGTCAAAGAACTCAAACCAAAGTGAACATCGGCGGGGTTTGAGGGAGCTGAAGGAGGCTATAAATAAATGACTGATGGTGACCTTGCTTTGTTGCTACTGGACTTGTAAGTTACGATTTAATTTTTTGTCCAACAGTTTGAATGGTTTTACTTTGTGGTTTATTTTAGTATTTGTTGGCTTGTGTCAGCGCAACACATTCTCACTCCCAGCGCGTCAAAAACAAACGCATAGTCAGCCACCCTCCGCCTCAGACCCCAGACGCCAAAAGTGCCCTTTTCCGTCACTTATGTGCGAAAAGGGTTTTTTCCCTTTTCTGACTGCAGATCCCAATGCAGCGTTACACTGACGCGATGGGATATCCGCTACTGTTGCATCCTAATGCAGCGTTGCACTGACACGATGGGATGTCCACAGCCAGGGCACCAAACAAGCTCATTGTACCTCACCCTAACCTTGTCCTCTTTTTTAACCTTCCCCTCACCCCTATCCTAACCTTAACCATCTCACTAGCGAGCACGTTAGTGATGTGTCGATCGCTCTAAAAGCCGGCTCTATGAAGTGAACGGCGGGAGCCGCCTCGTCATTGGTCGAGTTTGGACCGAGCCAACGCGAGGGGGAGGTTTCAACTACCACGGTGGAGGTTAAAAGTAGAGGGTATGTGTAACCCCCCCCTCGCCAGATGGTATGTTCTAACGTTCCCCTTGGGCGGCAAATACGAACATTCACAGTCAGAATGCATGGGAAACAAACGCTTGATCAGTAAGGTTTTAGGTAGCAAGAAGGTTATGGTTAGGATATGGGAGAGGGGAAAGTTATAAATAGCAAAACGTTAAGGTTTAGGTGCGGTTAAATGAGCTGGTTCGGTGCCGCATCAGCGGATATCCCATCACGTCAGTTTTCCGCTGCATTGGGATCTGCAGTTAGAAAAGGGAATTTTGCACATAAGTAACGAAAAAGGGCACTTTTGGCTTCAGGGGTGGAGGGTGGCTGACCAAGCGTTTGTTTTTGACGCGCTGGGAGTGAGAGTGTGTTGGTCAGCGTTAGCTCTTTGTTAGCGTTAGCGCGTACAGCAGGCAGTGGCAGGATTGTGTACGACAGTTATGATTCTGCTTTCAACCAGTAGGAGGGAGGAGCAAGAAACTTGTGAAGTGTTTCATTCTCCAGTTCTTGTAATGGAGGGCCACGTTACTGCATGTTCAGTTGTTGAATTCAGTGGCGTGTCTAGAAATGTATTTTTGGGGTGGCCAGGTAGGGGCATAAATTTAGACAGGGGTGGCACATGTAAACAGCTAATAACTTAGAAAAATATTAATTGTATTTACTAAATAACAAACCATTAATCAAAATCTAATTGGCTACTATAAACCAAAATAAAATCATAGCACAATACCAATGGTGCACTTCTATAAATAATTATCTATGACATTCTTCCATGAACAAATGCATATAAACAGATTTATTATAATAAAATTTGGGGCTTTCTCTGACATTTTAAAGTCAGGATTATTTTAGAAAAGAGAGAACGGCGTACTTTGAATGAAGTACATGTCATTCGCAGGCATTTTAGTGCATTTGAACTTTTTGTTAATTTGTAATTATTTTAATATTTTTCAACTACCAGGAGAAATAGGAGAGCTTTAAAACCTAATATTAATGAGGGGGGAAAAGAAAAATATCAATGAAAAACATCAACAAGAAATGAAATATCTGGCCTGGTTTGTTGTTTTGTTTGAACTCAATGGTCCCATTATCTGAAATTCAAATGGGTTTTGGAGAATGAACCCAGCTCAGTTCAATGCTGAAAACACTAAAACATAAAAAAATTAAAATAAACTTCCAAATCACATTTTACATTTGATATTTTATGGTTTATATTTCTTAGATTTTATGTTTTTGGTGTGGTGTGGCCAGCCTTTTTGCACACCCCCACCCCCGGACACATCACTGGTTGAATAAATTAATCAGGAGGTCCTCAAATTCAAGAAGAGTCAGTTGACTTAAATCTAGTGTGTTGGGGCAGACGGCCATCTAAAACATGCAAGATGGTCACTGAGGACCATGAATATGCCCCACTAATCAAACTTACCAGGATATTGTTTCTGAACCTTGTTAAATTAATCAATCAAACTTTTATTTCAGACAAAGCAGTTGTCCATACTTTAACATAACATAGATACAATTATAAATTGAAGTAAGATTAAATCAGGTGAAGTAAAACATTTTTGCTGCACCTGCTACAAGGTCGTATTCGCCACATATGCAGGCACGGCTCAGATAATGTTTGTCTTTTTATTTTCACCTGTTTGGAGATCAAAGACAAATGGGAGGAAAATGAACGTAAAATGTTGAGAATAGTTATGGGATGAAGAAATCTCCTCATTTGTTTCTGCTTTGGTGGTTGAGCTGAAATTCTTAAATACAGAAAAAAACATAATTTTTATTTGAACACACCTTTTTACCAGTTTTTTTTCTTGCATTTGTCACACTCGAGCTGATAAAACACCAATTTCAGCCAACGTCTAACCAGTGTCTCTTCCTCATGTAGCGTTCCTTTCCTATGACGCTTCAGTATGAAATCAAAAGTGAACCAGAGAAAATGTCTCATTTAAAATGCAGTTGTTAGCATTGTTGCCTCGCAGCACGAAGGTCGCAGGTTCAAAACTCGGCTGTTGCCTTGCTGCGTGGAGTTGCGTGTTCTCCCCATGCATGCGTGGGTTTCCTCCGGGTACTCCGGTTTCCCCCACAGATCACAACATGCCCTATAGGTTATAAACTGTAAGTCGCTTTGGATAAAAGTGTCTGCTAAATAAATAAACATAAACATAAACATAAAAACAAATGCACGTGGAAAAAGTCTCAGTTAAACAAACAAAAGACAACTCACTCCAGCAGCAACAAAACGTGGTAAAACTGGGAGCTGCGGACACTAAAAGTTCATCATTTAAATGTTTTTGGGGAGCGGGTGTCTTTCACACAATAACCAGACCCAACGGAGTCTGCAGCCTCCGGGTGCTGAGATAATCAGCACCAAACCAGAACATAGGACATTAAATCCACACCATCCGTCACAAAACACTGCTCATTTCCTCAAGGATGCGTGGAACCAAACAGTAAATAAACACGTGAGGAAGAACATTCAGGATGATGAGCTGTTCGCGTTTTATATGCTGATGAGTTTTTCAGAGGCCCAGGAAGAGATCCATCTGTGTGTGTGTGTGTGTGTGTGTGTGTGTGTGTGTGTGTGTGTGTGTGTGTGTGTGTGTGTGTGTGTGTGTGTGTGTGTGTGTGTGTGTGCAGAATTAATTCTGTGTGTTAATGAGGTCTGATGAGAACTGGAGGTGAGTAGATCAGCAGACACTAGTTTGCTGCCCGACTCTCTCTCTCTCTCTCTCTCTCTCTCTCTCTCTCTCTCTCTCTCTCTCTCTCTCTCCTTTTCCCCTCATCTGCAGCGCTGCCTCCCCTTATTCATTAATTCCAATTTTCCAGCCATAACTCCCACTTCCCCACCTGTCTAAGTCTTCTTCTCCCCTAAAGTCTCAGCCCCACCTGTCCAAATTTCCTCGCTCCTCTTTTGCCTTTCCAATCACTCCATCGCTCCCCCCATCAGGGGTGGGGATATTTTTATCATCAGCCACCTGTGAGGGCAAAAATTATTCTGCAATACTAATCCCTCCATTCTGCTCCCATGACTCCTCCACTTATGTATCTGTCCACCAACACAGGTGGGGGTTTGCGTGCTGCTTTGAATTTCCTGTTCATGCGCGAGCTACCGCATCATGTGAGGATTATAAGTACCTCCAACACTTATCACAACCCGAAAGTCCTCTGACTTTTAGGAACAATAGGAAAAAGGGATCCAGGAAATAATCATAACAAACTGTAAGTCCTGTAAAACTAATAAAAAGAATAAAAGTTAAGTCAAAGTGGTGTTTTTTTCTGATTCGACTTTTAGTTACTAAACAGACCTAAAAGGTAAAAAGAAAATAAATATTGACTGAAGAGCAGAAGAGGAACCTGCAGCAGAGCAGAAATCCAGGGAAAGGAGAACAGTGGAAATACATCCTGCTCTCAGTGGGCTGAATTGATTGTGATTACTCAGAGAACAGCGTGTGTGTGATGGAGCACGTTGAGCTAATAACAGAGAAGGTCTGGAAGAAAAAACAATACCTTGAAATGGGGAAAAAGAAAGCAACACTGCTTATTCTTGCAGCCATCTACTCTTGACCCCATCCAGAGGGCCCCCCCCCCCCCCCAGGCATGTCTGCCTCTAGGTGCAGATCAACCGTCACTTCCACACCTGATACCCTTCAAAATCAACACACAATCACACTTTCCTTTGAATATTTGTAAACACCACAAGCTTCTTTCCAGAAAAGCTCATGAGGGTTTGAGTGAGCAGAGAGAGGCATCTCAGCATCCATGCGTGTTTATGATTGGATGGAGGTGAGTGTGCTCTGCTTCGTCTGGAGCACAGAGCAGGGGCTACTCGCTGCAAACAAGACAGTGAACAAAAGTAATCTGAGAGGGATGATGACTGAGTGTGTGAGGACTGAGGTTGGAGTGCGGTCTCTCTCTACCCCCCACCATCCAAACAGAGCAGATGTCACACACTCCAAGTGACCCTGGTGCTGAGTCTTTCTTTGAGGCAGGGTGTAATCTGAGTAAGTATTTGGAAGCGATGAAAAAAAGCACACCTCCAAAATACAGCAACCACCAAGGTGTCAGCATCTTTCTCGCTTTTGGTTCCCTTGGCAACAGAAGGTCGGAGCCAACTCAAAACATCTCTTTCTGTTCTCAGTGTTCAGATCTTCTTTTAGAAGGAACTGGGTCAAGCAAACAATCACTTACATCTAATGTTCCTACTCTGATGAAGCCCCACACGTCAACGTCTCTGCAGGATTCAGGTGCACCGACTTGACTTTTCTCTGGTTGGAGGAAAATACTGGAAACAAGACGCTGATGTTTTAATACTTAGACATGCAAGGGTTTGGGAGGCAATCGCATCTTTTCCTGTTGGCAGTCCGACTCTCTGAATCTGAAAGAAAACAGGAAGTGGAGGTCACAGTTCACCTGGAGTCTGCAGAATCCGTGATGGTCACCACCACAACAGGAAGCGCCGGACAGAAAGGCGAGGAAGTGGACATGGACGGAGCAGGAGGCGAAGACAGAGGCTATCATTAAGAAACGCACACCGGAATGTGCACACACCGTCACCCTCATCATGCACAGTATTATAGTCTGGTAGTGTTTATTTATAATATCAAACTTTCAGTCAAATTAATAAAAAAAAATCAAACAAACAAATGAATAAACAGAGAGCAGCAGCCCACTCAGTTCCTATAAGTTATAACAGGATCAGCATTTGGGTGATGGATGGTTTTGTGTGGGACAGCTGGCTGCCCACATCTGTGCTCTCTATTTACATCAGAGAAACATGCATCATCCAAAGGTTTACTGAGTTTCATCTTTAAATCTATATTTGGGTACTATTGCATGCCCTGGGAGTACAGGGCTCATTATCAAGCAGGCATTTCCTGTAAACGTTTTGTTTCAAAGTGTTGAAAAAAATCAGCTTATGATGTGTTTTTCCAGTCAGAAAGGTTTAACCGTCCATTAGTGATCCAGATGGAGGGCTTTTGCTGATCTACTTGAAACCTTTAAAAATTCCAGGCACTCTTGGTGTTTTGCATTTGTCGGCGCTAGAGAAGAATGGCTTTTTGGAAGCACAGTTTTGCAACCAGTTGCAGTTAAAGGGATACTTAGCAACTTTGTTATGTTTTTAAATCATTTTCTTGAGCCAGTATGTGATAAAATTACCCTTTATAGGGTTGGTGAAAGGCCACCCAACCCCTACCACCCCCCATGGCCAGAATATTCCACTTGCAACTTCAGACTGGCGGGCCGGCACCTGTTGGGACTAAGAAAACATTGAGCTGTCATACCTGGCGCTGCAATCTGCTTCCAGCACGTTTCCTGCATGTTTTAGATCAGGGATTCCCTAAGTGTGGTGCGCGCACCCCTGGGGGTGCGAGAGCTGCCGCTAGGGGGTGCGCGAGGTGAAAAGTGTAATGGCCGCGGAGCTCAGAGAAGTCTGTCATATGTCACCATTAGCGTAGAAACTCATCTGTGGGTGGGCCTAAGAAAAAGTAAGTGGGCCCAATAAATGCAATTGAAAACAAGTATATTTTGCTTGTGTGTGTGTGTGTGTGTGTGTGTGTGTGTGTGTGTGTGTGTGTGTGTGTGTGTGTGTGTGTGTGTGTGTGTGTGTGTGTCCTCTGCATGTGCCCTAGCTTCATAATAACAATGCACTGAGCTTCAGCACTCTGGCCTGCGCACGCCGATACGTTCCGTATTTGATCATTTTTAACATGTTGGAGAAATCTGAAGGTGGTGAGTCATTCTGGCAGATTGTAATTAACACCTGTCTCATGCAGGTGTTCTGACATTGTAAACCTCACACACAGAACATTGTGGATGTAACAAAATAAATCAAGAAATGATTCCCATCTGAGCATTTTCGCATTTTTATATTATTATAGTAGCTCACTGACTGTGGAACAGCATTCTAAACGTGTCAGGCTATTAACAGCACGCTGAAGATCTGAAGGTCAGAGTGCGTCTGTCAGAGGTCACACGCGTTCCAGCGGAACCACGGCTCACGGGTGCACATGTGACCACATCAGGGCATGGCTATATATATATATATATATATATATATATATATATATATATATATATATATATATATATATATATATATATATATATATATATATATATATATATATATATATATATATATATATATATATATATATATATATATATAGCCATGCCCTGATCTGGGGGCTGGGGGGGGGGGTGTCAATATGGTCGGGACATAGAAGGGGGGGTGTGGCTAAATAAATTTGGGAACCGCTGTTTTTGATGGTGAACACAGCTGATCTGTTTGATTATTGGGCCATTCCCACCTGTACCGGGTCGGCCCGGGCCGGGTAGCATAGGTTGTTTACATATCTGGGTGGCCTGGTATTTTCCCGGCCAACCAAGGCTCATTCTCAGCCCTCTTCTCGAGGGGGTCTGCTTCAGGCCGACCGGGGCCAACACACCCACTGCTGACAGCAAATTCACACCTTCCATTAGAGCAAGCCTCTGATTGGTGGGTAGAATCAGCCCACATGGGCTTAAGGCAAGGATGTGTGGAATCAACCGGGCCAGGCTGGGGCCGACTGGGGCTACCCGGCCCGGGCCGACCCGGTACAGATGGGAATGGCCCATTAGTGATGTCATCACTGTAGATGCTAAGGAAAGCTGGGGAGAAATTTCAGATGTTAGATTAAGGTGTTAAAAACACAAACAAGGAGATGGGTTTTGCTTTCAGTTCTACAAACGAACACTGGGGGTGCCTAAAAGCAAGCCGACACTGGCCCGTTAATTGTCAGTATTTTTACATGTGAATGATTGCTTATTGGTCATGTTTCAGTAGAAAAAAGTCCCCATCTGTTTATTTCTCTTCTCCTGTTTGGAGTAACAGAATTTCCAGGTCAAAGAACTTGACTTTCACTTTAAATGTGAAGTCAGGAGTTGCATGGTACTAGGCGGTGTACCACAGGGATCTGTCCTCACCCACCCTTTGCTCTGTACAACACTCCTCCAAGATCACAAACATCATTTTAAATGAATAACGCCTAATAAAATCACAGATCCAAGCTCCTCTGACAAATCCTTCAGCCCGCCTTTTTTACATAAAACCTCACATCATAAATTCAGCAATGGTACTTTTTCTGTTTTGTTTGCAGGTGTCGTTCTTCCTGTTCATTGTTTTTGTTGTCTACACCATGCTGCCCTTCTCCATGAAATGGGCTGTCACTGCCAGCGGTATAACCTGCCTCTCACACACCATCACCCTCTGCATCTGCCTGACCTCCACTGTCACAGAACTGGAACCTCTAATCTGGCAGGTATTTATCTATCATCCAATGTGTTACCTGCACAGGTCAACCATGCTGTTCAAATCCTCATTTTCCAGATGCTGCATGTGTGAGATGATATTCACGAGCAAAGTGTAAAGGTTAGGCCTGTTAACGGCAGACCAGGTGAGATTGTTCTATAACAGGAGTCTGCCACCTTTAAAACTGTTGTTCCCCTCTGTCAACCTGATTAAAACTGTTACAGGTGCTTTTAAAAAATGATTTCTGATTTCTAAAGAAGAGGATTAGGGCCATTGAACAAAAAGATTATATTTTTTCTCAGAAATCTGAAATAAAACCATAATTCTGACTGTTTTCTGCAGTCAGAAATTGTTTTTAATCTGTTTCTTTTTTCTTTCATTTCCAACAAATAAAATTTCAACAAATACCCCAAAAAATACAAAAAATATAAAATTTATCATAAAATTGTTTGTAAATCTAAACAAAAGGTGTTCAAAAATGGAGCAGGAAGAAGCAATGGCTAATTTTTTTCTATTATTATGTTTACAGTAATATTGCGATAAATAAACGCTTTAATGGAATGTTGATAACTGTAGAACATGATTTTAAAATTAATCAATGCATCTAAAAGAATTACTGCTGCTTTGAAATAATTCCATGAAAAAACTGAAAAGCTGCTGAAACCTGCATTTTTTATTATGTATTTATAAACACCAGTAAATTTTTTTTATCATTTCCAGCCAAAGAACCACTTGTGGCTCCAGAGCCGCAGGTTTCACCACTGAACGCGATACTGCACCACCATTTTGATGGATTTGAGCAAACGTTTTCTATATTTATTGTGACACAGCACATTGAGCTCAACCTGTTAAAAATGGACGACTGAATGGACTCTTTATACTGTGACACTAAGAAAGTCTCAACAAAAACCAAGATTTTAAAAAATGAAATCTGAAAGACTAAATGAATACAGCAAATCATGTTGGATGAGGAATGACGTAAACAAGAATTGATTTAGCATTTCATGGATTTCACACACACACACACAGTCCCTTTGTAATCAGCCGGCGAAGTAAACAGCACCTCCTTTCAGCCTCACATAAACACACAAGTGGAATAACACACCAACCATAAAACTTACTCATGGATCCTCATAATCTTTGGAAACAAGAGCAAGGATGATCTCATGAAGAGGCTTAGAATGACATAGGGTGGAAAAGCTTGGAGGAAATGTGTGTTTTCCTCTGGTTTTAAGAAGACACACTCAAGTGAAAGGTGAGTCACTTCCTGACACTGTGTGACGTTGTGATGTTGTGCATGGCAGATCCTGGCCAATGTGATCATCTTCACCTGTGGAAACCTGGCTGGGGCGTATCACAAGCATCTCATGGACCTGGCCCTCAAACAGACCTACCAGGACACCTGCAACTGCATCAAGTCACCAATTAAACTGGAGTTTGAGAAGCATCAACAGGTACAGGATCAAAATATAACAAACAATTCCATATAAATAATCGTGCAACACAAAGTCAACTGTATTAAATAGTTCCCATGATGACTGAAATAACTGGAAGGGTTATTTTGAGATGACGCTGATCTTCCTTGGTCTTGCTCAGACTATCCATTAGCATATCAATCACAAATAACTCAAATGAGACCATTTGAAAAATTTGGTCTACAATAGGCAAGATAGTATCCATCTACGGCCTTTTCACAGACTCCATGGCTATTTTTATCAGTCAAATAAAAGTCTCTACGTGTTTATCTCTACCGCCAAAACACTTTTCTTTTAAGTTTTGCCAGAGGGGAAGTTGGTAGGTCGTGTCTTTAAGTGACATTTTGCAGTGACATTTCCTTGACATTACCATGATTTTGTCCTGACATTAGGTATTCTTTCCAACCAGGGAAATGACATATAAAATTACACTAATAATTGATGGTCCACCCAGTGGTGGTTCACTATTTTGACCTTTCTTGTGGGAAACTTGTGAACACTTTCTAATGACTTTGTTCATTCTGTAACTAACATTTTTAGTGTACAGCGCCGTGTTTGGTTGTAATGCCTTGTTGAATGCGCTTTATAAATAAAATGGTATGGTATGGTAGTATTACAAATACCTCAGAGAGAATATAAGCTGTAACCATTTGCCAATTAATGCATTTCACGAGTTTAATAGTGCTGTAGACATTTGTAGTCATTATGTTGGCACTTTAGTGCATCTTATTTAAAATTAAAATTTCAACCTAAATCCATCATTATTGCACCCTCTTCAGGTTAAAACTCTGCACTACATTGAATTTGAATCAGCCATTGCTACAAGCTAACTCCTACTGCACATTGGAAGCATCAGCGGCGTGGAACGGCACCACTTCAAAGGGGCATTATGGAAGTTTGACAGCTAAAACATGTATAGAAATTATAAATGTCTTCTTCATACATTCTCCTGCAATGCCCTGGTCCTGTAGAATGAGCCCTGGCATTTTTACTGTGATTGCCTGTTTTTCTGTAAAATCACAGAAAAAGAGAGATGCTCGGGTCGAGCAGGCTGCTTCATGCGCGTTCACGCTCAGGCATAGCCCGTAGCGTTTGCTATCCGTAGCTTTAGCAGCAGAGAGTGAGGTAGTGCCAACTCAGCGACTTTGTCGCTGTTCCTAACGCCTAGTGATGAACCTAGCTACATTTCTGAGGACCCTTAGCTACTTTCTTCTAGATATTTCCTGCAAATTAGCAACAAAATAGCTATTTTCGCTCCGAACCGTTCTTTGAATGTTGTTTTAGCTGTTATTAAGGATATAAATATTACAGATACCAAATATGTCAGTGGTGGTTTAGCTCATCTAGTTAGATGTTGGACTCTTGTGCAGGAGACCCAGGTTTGATTCTGGGTGTGAACATAGTTAATTTAGAGTTTCTTTTTTACATTAATGGTATATTTTTTTACAGTAAGATGCCCAAATTTTTATTTGAGACTCGCCGAACGGCATTGAATTCACAGATAAAAAAGATGTGGGTTCAACTTTCATTTTGGAACAATTTTTCAAGCAAGGGAAGGGAATGATCTGAGCATGCAGGAGGACTGACCCATCTTAAATCTTTGTCGGCTGTGCTGAAGAGAAAGGTACAGAACCAAATTATTTAATTAATTAGCTTCGCATTCTCCTGTCCTCTGTCCTCCGGGCCACACACACACACACACACACACACACACACACACACACACACACACACACACACACACACACACACACACGGGACTGTCTCAGCTGTTATTTTCGTTAAGGAGCATGCGCGCCTCGTGCGCGAGCCTACTATTGAAGCTGCTGTTACGCTTTTGGCCTGAGGGGGGCAATCGCGAGCATAAAAATTCAAAACTCCGTAAAGTCCTTTTCAAATAGAATCCATTATAGTTTATGGAGTGTAACAAACCAGCTGTGATGCGGCAATTTCGCATCCCAGAAGCGCAGCACCGCTAAAGATAGGATCGTGTTCTATTTTTTACGCGAACCGCTTCTGGGATGCGTCAATTTCCGCAGTCAACAAAGAGCTAACAGGAAATCACATACGGTTTTTACCAGTGTAAAATCCCTGGTAATTTTCCAAATAAAAGTACTACAGCGATGCAATTTCATCTATGTATATATATATATATATATATATATATATATATATATATATATATATATATATATACACACACATATATATATATATATATATATATATATATATATATGTGTGTGTGTGTGTGTATATATGAATGGCTTATTTACTCACAGCATTGTTCCTGAAGTGCAGCAGTGTGTTTTCATGGCTTTAATCCTGGCAGTGGAGAGGAACCACACCATATATGACATCAAACAGCGATAACAACGTGATTCCCTTCTTTGTGTTTTAATGGCTGTCATGGATTTTATCAATATGTTTATCAATAACCCATTTCCTGCAGTCGAAGAGAAAAGGGGACAATGAGAAACTTGTCAGACAGTTATAACTGTGGCATATGCACGAGGCAAAATGCCCTGAACATCTGGTCACAGAGTTTATTTATACCAAGAGATAAGAATGGAATGAGAGCGAGATCATATGTGTGAGAGAGAGAGAGAGAGAGAGAGAGAGAGAGAGTGTGTGTGTGTGTGTGTGTGTGTGTGTGTGTGTGTGTGTGTGTGTGTGTGTGTGTGTGTGTGTGTGTGTGTGTGTGGAAGTCAAGAATGTGTGTGTGTGAGTGGTTTGTGTGGGTGTGTCTGAATAAGTGAGCATGCAAAGAGGGGCATAGAGCAATACATATTACATTCAGTTGATTGAATCAATGATCAAGAATTAATAAACATAAAATTTCCATAACAATGGCGGATTGCATAAACAAACTTTAATCTTTGAAATCTCGAGGGATCTTGAGTTGAGTCGAGCGAGGAGCATGTTAGAGAAGCCGCCTCGCTGCTGAGACTCTCCCGGAGTGCACTGGAGTGCTGTGATTGTGGCAAGTAAACCGTTCCGCACCGCTGATGCTTACAGTGTGCAGTAAGGGTCAGAGGCACACTGTGGCGTTGCAGGTACAATTTTAAGTGACTGCACTTCACTGGTTTGCAGCCAAGCCTTGGCCACACCTCCAGCTGGCTTGGCTACTTATGACACAGCTTAGAGCCTCTTCAAAAAAACAACCTTCTTCCTTTCTTCTGGTGAATGATGTGGACATGAATCCTACAACGTGCTGCTGTCTGTCTACTCCTCCGACTGAGTGGTGTGTGTGTGTGTGTGTGTGTGTGTGTGTGTGTGTGTGTGTGTGTGTGTGTGTGTGTGTGTGTGTGTGTGTGTGTGTGTGTGTGTGTGTGTGTGTGGGAAGTCAAGAATGTGTGTGTGTGAGTGGTTTGTGTGGGTGTGTCTGAATAAGTGAGCATGCAAAGAGGGGCATAGAGCAATACATATTACATTCAGTTGATTGAATCAATGATCAAGAATTAATAAACATAAAATTTCCATAACAATGGCGGATTGCATAAACAAACTTTAATCTTTGAAATCTCGAGGGATCTTGAGTTGAGTCGAGCGAGGAGCATGTTAGAGAAGCCGCCTCGCTGCTGAGACTCTCCCGGAGTGCACTGGAGTGCTGTGATTGTGGCAAGTAAACCGTTCCGCACCGCTGATGCTTACAGTGTGCAGTAAGGGTCAGAGGCACACTGTGGCGTTGCAGGTACAATTTTAAGTGACTGCACTTCACTGGTTTGCAGCCAAGCCTTGGCCACACCTCCAGCTGGCTTGGCTACTTATGACACAGCTTAGAGCCTCTTCAAAAAAACAACCTTCTTCCTTTCTTCTGGTGAATGATGTGGACATGAATCCTACAACGTGCTGCTGTCTGTCTACTCCTCCGACTGAGTGGTGTGTGTGTGTGTGTGTGTGTGTGTGTGTGTGTGTGTGTGTGTGTGTGTGTGTGTGCACGCCACTTCATAACAAGGCCAAAGCTCATTACACAACTTAATATTAATCACATTTATTCATTAATCAAGCTCCTCCAGCTACTCTACCTACTCCTGCGCCGAAACTGTAGTACAGAGTTCCAGCTGCTTTGGTGCTGAAAAGGTAAATAAGGGTTGATGGTGTGTATTTCTATTTTTAGAGCTCCCCCATCCCGAATCCCTCTCCAGACTTAATTTGCTGCTGTGTTTAAGGAAACGAGCCCGTGGTGTGTGAACAATGTAATGACCCTTTTTACTGTGAGCTGCATTTATGAGTCACACCCCCGCGGGCAGTTGTTAGCGCTGCAACATGCACACACATCCACACACTCTCACCAAAATTAAGCTGAAAAAACCCTCCGGTCTGATGTGTCTGGTGTTAATTTGAAGCAAAAACTTTCACAGCAGCACAACCAGCTGCGGATGATGAATCTAGCTTCCCTGCTTTCCTGTTTTTTATTTTAATTGACTGCATCATGCAACACAACATCATCTAGATTACAGCTGTGGTGTAACCATTTACATAAATATACTGGACAATTCCTTTCCATAGACTCTGATAATACGTTTTTGTGCTAAAATGGGAGGTAGCCACCACCGCCATTTTGACCGTGTCACAGGTTCGGCCAAGCCCAGACAATTCCAAAAAAGGGAAGAGAGGTGGAGCTGAGGGTGGGGCTGTAAGGCTGGGATCAACTGACGACACCCGGTCGAACTAGCTACAAGCTAACCTGAAGCTAACCCAAAGCTAACGCGGAGGTGGAAGCCGAGCTAATGGATGTAGCCACCTAGCTACAACCGGAGCTAACTCTGTGGAACACCCATCGACCGCAAGGAGTTCAGGTGGAGGTTTGCGGCGCTTTTTCCTGAGAAGTACCTTTCTGTGAATGAAATATATTAAATCGGTAAGTTTATAAGTTATTTCCGTAATGAAAATATACTTTGCTTTGAGCAGGTTTTCACTATTTATCACGTACCGTATTTTCAGGACTATTAAGTTGCTCCTGAGTCACACCAGCC